GAGAGGCCACACCACACTGAAAAACTTACTCTTTTCCTTTCCATTCCACAATCCTTGAGAAGTTAAGGTAGCTCGTTTCCCCACTTAGGAAAACATATTCTCCGTCATCGGTTCCATTCATCTGGAAGCAGACAGAGGAGTTGTTAATGACTGCACTCATTCTCTAACACCTGGCTGGTAACTACAATGGGGTGGCAGGAGTTTAAGCAGTCATCACTTCAAAACCCACTCTAGGAGTGATGGACTGCCCCTGAGGTATGATTTCCAAGAAACAAGAAGTCCCCACAGTCGAAAAAGACGTGCAACCCGAAACACTGTGGGAGCCAGCAATGGCTCCAGCACAGAAATAACAGGCAATTTCAAGCCGTAACTAAGGAAATCAGTCAGGAATTTTTTCCAGTAGTTTGCACAACCGGCCCCACAAAGCCCCTGTTATTCAAGCGAGCGTGGGCCACAGTGGAATGGTTTATATCCCCCCTTGGAAAGCTTATGCACACCTGATAAAGAGAAGTCAGATAAAACAGCCAGTGCCCAGATACAGCCAAACTGGAAAGGGAATCATAGAATGGTTTGGGTTGGAAGGGACCTCAAAGATCATCTCATTCCAACTCCCCTGCCATGGGCAGGGACACTCTCCATTACACCAGGTTGTCCAAAGCCTCATTCACCCTGGCCTTGAACACTTCCAGGGATGGGGCATCTACAACTTCTCTGAGCAACCTGTGCCAGTGCCTCACCACCCTCAATGTGAAAAATTTCTTCCTCAGATCTAATCAAATCTCCCCTCTTTCAGTTTAAAGCCATCAACCCTTGTCCTATCACTACATGCCCTTGTAAAAAGTCCCTCTCCAGCTTTCCTGTAGCCCCTTTAGGTACTGGAAGGCTGCAATAAGATCACCCCGGAGCCTTCTCTTCTCCAGTCTGAACAGCCCCAACTCTCTCAGCCTGTCTTCATAGCAGAGGTGCTCCAGCCCTCAGATCATCTTCGTGGCCTCCTTTTGGAAACCTTTTGCTATCCCTACAGCCTGCCTCCCGGCGGCGGTCCGAGCACATCCTTCCCAACTGGCTGGCGATGACAGCCCAAACTGCAGCAATGACATCACTCCCCACCTAAAGCATCACCAAGACTTGCATCTCTGTTACCTTATGAAAGAAACCAAATACTGGGTCGACCTCTGGATGCAACAGGTGAATGGCTGACAGGAGCCTGTCTTTGTAGCCCCACAGTAACTCATGAACCGTGTGGAGGGTGAACAGGGATTCTTGGTACAGGAGCAGCAGCACCTCCGTGGCAAACTGGAAAGGGGTTGACCTGGTCCACTCCATCGCAGTCTGCCAGGGGATCGAAACAAGGGAGCGACGGTCAGATTTCTTGCAGAATCAATGACACCAGCTGCATACACACAGAGGCACACAGGCACCTTTCAGCACTGCACGTGTTTCAACTGTACTTTCAGTTTCCTTATTCCTACTTGTACCAAGTAACCTTCTTCAGCTTTTCTCCCACAGGGATGTGCTCTTGCAGATCCCTGTTCAGCCTGGCACTGGCACACAACCAGCGCGGTTGCGTCCCATGAACTGCCATAGTCTTAAGAATGGATTTTAAGAAAAAAGTGCAAAACTGCTTTCTAAACAGCCTGAACTGCACAACTATATTAGAGCTGGAGATGTGCTTTCAATTCTGCCCTTAGGAATTTCTACTTGCCATTTTTAAAAGAGAGTCATTTCTCCAAAATACAAACAACATCAAAATTTATTTCCTTTCTAGCTGACAAGTGACATGTCTTTAAAAAAGCAAAAACAAAAGAAGGGAATATTGCTTGGGCAAACCAACCTGTAGTTTTTCTAGTATTGCCTGTTACAGCACATCACAGGCAGAAACCACAACAAGAGATAATACTTGTCACCCCTCAAACGCCTGGGAGGAATTGTAAATGCAGTCACTGCACTGTTTGCAACTTTTACTAAGCTGAGTCCTGTCTACCACTACCTACAGTGCATTTAGGTATTCATTCATAAAATCAGACAAGACATTTTGGAAATGCTGAGGGAAAAGTAGAAATGAATGTAGCCTGTAATTGAAGTCCATTAAACTAGCACAGGAAGTAAAGGCTTCATTACACAACCAACAAGTATTTTAGCACAGTGCAAGTTCCTTTGGAAGGTGTGACAGCTTTAGGTCTGCTTGTTCTCATACCATCCCTCTATGAGACCAAAAATAATGGTCTGCCTCTGATCACCAAAATGAGACTTTTTTTTGCAGAGTACTTGCACCTAACACAGTTTGGAAGTGCAGGTTTTAACTTCAATTTTATTCTGAGAGCACCTTTTCATTCGGCTGTATCTGAAACTCCTCTGCTGTCGTTTTCTTTCTCCAGTTTGAGATGCACTTCGAGGCAATTCTTGCAATTTGGACAAAAAACAACGCCAAGCATCCCAAACTTTCTCATTCAAAAGTCAGTTCCTCCTACGCATCACTAATTCCCTAGCTTCGCTTCCTCATGGAAACCCACCAAGCCTGATTTCTGCTCAGCTCTGAAGTGCTCCCAGCACAAGAGTGAGCCACTAACTCCACAGAGGCATACGGCGAGGGAGGACCATCACCAAATAACCCTCAGCATTCCAAACCAAAACTGAATGCAGTTACCTGCCCCGGACATAAGGTGCCTCCCTCGTTCTTCAGTCATGTTTGTCCACCACGAAGGGAGAGACAGTTTGAAGCAACAAGCCACTAGTTGTGTTAGGATGATTTCCAAGCAGAAATGAACGAGAACTCACCACTGCAGGAATATTAACTGTTCTAACCAGGTCCACTTCAGGGTCTCCGACTGACTTCTGAGATTCAAATACATACGTCTTTGGATTCAGAGCAGATACTTTGGTACCGTTGTCCAAAAACTGAACGTGCACTCTTGGCCTGTATTCTCTGCGGAACAAGAGAGTATGTTCTCTAATTGAGTTAAACAAGCACACACAGCACTAACTGCAGCTGACTTAGGGGTCTCCTATTGCTTTAAGCACATGGAGGGTGGGATTTTCAGTTCCTTAGGAGGAGATTCATTTCTGCTACTGCTGCTGTCAGCAACAGAAGGCCCCTCTGCCTCAGTGTAAGCTGAATCAGACCTCGCATGGGCCTTCCAAAAATGCCACCCTACACTTGAGTTGTAGTTTATATTTTTGCCTCATCTTTAAAAACCTCCAAGGAAAGACAACAATTTCATTCAGTACAGCAGGATTTACAGGCACTATATATGAGGCTGCCCTTGAAGTACAATTTGAAAACCAAACTTTTGCCTCTTCGCTGCAGGCAAAATTCACTCCCAGGCAGAATAAGATGTAAGCTCCACGTAAGTCTCATTAACCCGTCCTAAGAACCTACCAGAATATTTCTGCTGGCTTCAAAGTACTTTGCACTAGGACTTCAGGTGACAGGACCACAGAACAAGCCTTATTTTAGCTCATCTCCTTTAATTCTCAGGCAGGAATCCCGGACACAAGAGAAATTCAACAGAATTTTTTCCATGAACTACTGACGGCCTGGAAAGCTGGTACTGTTACTGTCTAAGCACTCAGACAAGCAGCATAAAACTCAGGACTTCTGACAAACAAGTGCAATTGGCAAGAAACTGCAAATGTTACCTGCTGGCCTGAGGAGGAAGTCACATCTTAACTACCCTGAAACACATGTCATAACCATAATTCGGCCTGTTGCCCACTACCATTTTACAAACAAGAAACATAAAATTCCGCAGAGCTGGCTGGCTCAGGCTGTGCACCCTGTGCTATGATGTTTTCCCATTCATTTCGGAGCCTAGGTCCCATCCTGGCTGCACTAGATCCATCAGTGCAGCTTCGTGACAGGCTGTATTCCTCTGGTTCAGTCTTTTAAATTTAAGGAAAACTAGAAAGGCCCGTGAAACTATTCTTGTTAGAAAACAAGCATCTCCCATCTTCCTTACACAAACAGCGTATCTATCACTCTTCAGGATATCCCTACCACCTAGGAACGTTTTGGTCCGGCAACACTTAGGGCTTGATTTGGCCAGAGCCTCTGATACAGCCATCTACTTTATACAAGGGGATGGGAACGGACAGTTGCGAAGTGCCTTCCCTAAAATAGGCCAGAGTTAGAACCTGAGAAGCCTCTCAAACTCTAGAAGGGTCAGAGAAGAAAATAATACTCCCTGATTAGGGACAGGAGTTGGAGGATCTCAGATGTTAGAGACAAAAAGCAATAAATGTGTGCAAGACCAAAGGAGATTCTTTAGAACTCAGCAGGCTTGGGCAGATCAGCGGCTTGCACTTGGTAATTATTTTAAATGCTGCAAATGCAGCTTCCAGGATTTAAAAACACAAGCAGTACCACGTTTTTGTTACAGAATCTGAGTCTGTGCTAAATGGATTTACAACGTATGTTGGTTAAATTATGAATTGCAGGAAGAATATGCAGGAAAAGATTCTATTTAGCCTTCTCACCTGCCCTCTATCACTCCCAGGGCCACAAAGATGGTGAAGGGAGTGGAGCATCTCCCTTAGGAGGAAAGGCTGAGGGAGCTGTGTTTCTTTAGCTTGGAGGAGACTGAGGGGGGACCTCATTAATGTTTATAAATATGGGAAGGGTGACTGTCATGAGGAGGGAGCCAGGCTCTTATTAGTGGCATCCAACGATAGGACAAGGGGAAACAGATATAAGCTGGAACAGAGGAGGTTCCGCTTAATCATGAGGAAGAACTTCTTCCCAGTAAGGGTACCAGAACACTGGAACAGGCTGCCCAGAGAGGTTGTGGAGTCTCCTTCTCTGGAGATGTTCCAAACCCGCCTGGACACGTTCTTGTGTGATCTGATCTAGGTGGTCCTGCTCCGGCAGGGGGATTGGACTAGATGATCCTTTGAGGTCCCTTCCAATCCCTAACATTCCATGATTGTGTGATTAGATTTTTTTCCTCTGCTTGTCTGGGCCAGTTCGCTTCCAGCCTTTCTCCCCAGTATCCTGTTTTATCAAAACACCAAGCCATGCACCTCATGTCAAGGCACTTCAGGCCTTCTGCCGCACGCTAAACCCAAACAAGTCTTTAACACTTACCTACATGGGGCCTGAGAGACAAACTTGGTGTTTTTTCTCTGGCTTGAGTGTCATGTGTTGGCAACATCCCTCCCTTCTCCATCTCCTCCCACACTCCTCCTCCCTTTCTGCCCCCACCGCTGGCAGTCTGGTACAGTCAGCAGCGACAGCTAGGCAAGGGTTAAACAATCTGCTGGAAAAGAGCCCTCCACTTCCTAACTTTGCTCTTTCTTCTACCAGACGGAGCACAGCACAACCGAATCCTGTTGGGACACGTCAAAACGGGGCTCACCAAGGAAGCCAGAAGCGAACCACGCAGCGCTGGAACGCGCAGCCGCCCTCCCTCGCACCGCAAGGAACGACTCGGGCAGAGCCCGCGTTGCCCGACCGGCTGACAGCCAGCCTGCGGCGAGCGTGGCCGGGGAAAGCTCTCCCAGCAAGCCACAAACCAGGAGCTCAGGCTGAGCTTCTCCTCGGGCATGGACCAACCCAGCCGGCTGCACCACCAGCCCTGCTGGTGCCACCGAGCTCCGGCGCAGATAAGGCGCAGCTTGACAAACCGGGCTGTGCGTGACACCCATGAGACACTTGGGGCTAAGGAAAGGGAAAAAAAGAAGGAAATAAAGGGGATGGAGTACCAGGGTGCAGAAGAGCGTGGGCCTGCATGGTTTCGTGTAGCAATACTACACCTAGAGCTGGCCTATTTCTTCCTGACAGACAGAAGGCACTACTGACTAATTATCAGATTATACTACAGAGAGCAGGAGAAAAGCTTGGGAACTTGAAAGCTTATGCATCTTTCTTCTAGCTCTCCTGGTTTATCTAACACGAGGTGTTTTGCCAAAGTACCACACGTAGTTTGCCAAGGCTGAGATGCAGAGGCGAGGGGGGAAAAGATGGACGGCAGAGGGTGAAGCAAAGCTGAGGTGCAGGAGGAAAGAAAGGCAAGACATACTGCAGAGACCAAGGCTACCGCCAAGACTCTCCCTTTTATTCTAGTACTGCTTTTTTCCAATGCTAACAACCCGATTCTGATCATTTTGCACTGTAGGTAAAGACAACCCCTTCTGGCACTGAGCCAGCGCTCGGTCTGAACGAGCATCCGTGACCAGAAGTGAGACTGACAATGAGAAATCAGCCTTTCTGCCATGGCTCTCGTACCTCCATGACTTCCAAGACCTTCCTGCTCCAGGACTGCTCCTGGTTTACACTGCTGCATGCAGCAGAGCAGAATAAAGCTTCAAAGGAAAAGGCATTTGTAAGGTGACTTTAAAATCTCTCCAGGTGCAGCGGGCTCAGACTGCTCAGTGTGTGGCCATTACCACGCAGGGGAGTTCAAGGGGCTGGATAAGCTCCAACACTGCACGTGGCCTTAGTAAGTCCACTATCTGTAAAAACAGTAGATATGTCTGAATCCAAGTAGATTTTACAGTCAGGGTTGGCTGAGGAAGTACCACTCTCGAACTGGTTTTCTGGCCGTACTTTTACAGGCATGAATTGTGCAACTTCAGCTAGGAGCTAAGTTCTAAGTGAACACATGAATCACACTTTTACGCAACACTCCTCTCCCCAGACTATCAAACATCCCCCAACCAGTCACTGTCTTTGCCCTCATAAGACAGTAGGCCAACGTGGAAACAACTTCCTCTGTGTTCAGCAGCTGAGGAACAGCAGCAGACAAGCAAAACCTTGCCCAAAATCTGATAGAAGTCACTTGCTTAATCTGAAGCTGATGGCAGGTTCTCCAAACGTCAGTCTGGACGTACTGTCTGGGTGGCGTATGACCGTGCTCCCCTGAATAAACTTGTACTCACACATGAACAGTTAGGTTTTCTCTTAGAACGGGATCCAAAGCGTTTTGGATCCCACTTTTTGGCTTCCTCACACACAACAGGTTTAGTGAAATGTGAAAATAGTGAAATGGTCCTACCTGTAGGTGTACGGCCCTATTTCCTCTACAAGAGGAGTATCGCCTTGAAGCACTTCTAAAGGATTTGTCACATTAAAAAAGTAGAACTGCATGTAGACTGGTGGAGGAGGATCCTCCCAGGCTTCAAAGGTTTCCGTGCCATTTTTCAATACTGTTCCCTGAAACAAGAGAAAGACAGATGAGCCGTTAGTGACAGATGCTGGATGATATTTACAGCAAAGAGAGGCATTCTGTGCCCTCACAACCAGCACAGGCAACAGGACTCGAGACCCCAATTCTGCAAATAATTATAGCTATGTTTGACTTGGAAGCCTGTCACTAAACATCAACAAGATGAGACGTGCTGCACCGGCTCGCGGGTTAGGGGCAAACGTTTGTTGGGTTTGTTGTTTTACTTCTTCCCACAAACACTTCTGCCTGACATTTTCCAGAGGGAAAATATCAGCTATTACGCAGCGATCCTGTGGCGTTCCCCGCATCAGCAAAAACCTGACCTGGTGTCAGGTACCACGAAACATGCCAACACTGCAGCTAAAAGTGGAACTCCACAATGGGAGGGCCAAGAGGTCCTAAGGGAGGCCAGAAAAGAAGTTTAGATCCCTTTTCTTTCTGATTTCTTTGCCTCAGAAGGTCAAAATACAGTACAGCTGTGAGACACTGTCTCCAAAGTAATTAAGAGTTTGTTTTTCAGTGGCCTGTGAGGGAAACCTGCAAGTGGCAGAAATGGCTTTCACGTAGGTGTACGAGGACTCGTGCCTTTCTGAGGTCTCTGAATAGGGCCAAGATTCTTCACCCCCTGTCCTCAATTACTTTCCTATAGCAATGAGTGTGCATGTATATGCAGATTCATGGACTCTCAGTCTATTTTGTAACCAAAAGAACGTGAACGTACAAAAGAAAAGCTATAAATCATTATTTTATGGCAAAAGCACTTAAGAAATGAATGAGTAATTCCTTTACATAGCAGCATATACATGTTACAAGGAAAGTTGCACCCATACCTGTATGTGGCTCCATTAGAAACAGATAATACAGGTCTCAACCGCCCATTTTATTGCCATTCCATTTTAGATAAAATTCACCCCAGCTATAAAAGCATCACCATCAACACGAACAAAATGAAGGGTGTTCATGTAGTTACAACACTGGTGGCTAGTTAATTTGGCTTGCAGAACAGAATTTTCAGAAAGAAGCACAAAATAAAACTATATCATGGAAAACCATAACACCTGTAGGCATAAGAAGGGGAGGAGGGGAATAATTTGCAATTAAATGGGCCTCATCAACAATTGCTCTTTTTATTCTTCGGAGAAAACAAGGCAAATATTGTAAGTGCAAGCTCCAAAGCAGGGCAGACTGGACAGCTGCCATTTCTTGATTACTGTTCTTGAGGTCTCAACTTTATCAGCCACAGTTGCCTCAGGACTCGTTCCTGGCCTTCCCACTTAAGGAGCTGGTTTCTCTCCGTGTAGATTTTCATTTTGCATGAGTAGATCAAGAGAAGACTGTTTCAAAGAAAAACTCACTGGCAGGAGTTGGAGATGACAGAATGAAAAGCCATGAAAGCCAACCCAGCTCGTAGCACTTTGCAGTTGCAGACCACCTTCCCCTGAGAATTTCAAACCACATACTCTGTGCACGCCACAAATCCCAAAAATATTTTAGATGTGCTTCAGGAGCTTTGTGCATTTCTTTGGAACTACCAGCACCTCATAGGTACCATTTTCTACATAGCCTGATGCTTTTCATGCTGTTTTCTTCCCATCTATGCTAAGGAGGCTCATCCCTGTATTCAGACAAGAGCCCTCCTGAAGTTGGTTTGTAGGATCAGGAGCCAAAAATCCCCTCCAATCAGGCATACCGTTCCCATGATGCCACCACAAAGGGCTGGGAGTGAGACAGCAATGCATTTAAGACATCTACAGATGATGGTGACAGCTTTTCTCCATCTGCACATAACCACATTACAAACTCAAGCATTTCAGAGGTGGTGGTGTAGTGAACTACTGACGTTTTTTCCCTCCCTAAGTTGTTTAAAACTCACATCTCTCACGTGCATGAAAAACAATAAGCTTGACACTGATAAATAGAGTAACTATTGCCTGTCGTGACCTTAACCATCCATATCTAGGAATTTGAACTGTTCCCTAACAACTACTAAGCATATTCAGGACACCTATCTACTGCTTAAGTGTTTCTCGTATGAAACAACTAAAATGAGAGATTATTACTCAGGCTAAAAGTGCACCCTGATCGTATTCAGTCCAGATTTAGTCTCCTGTGTATCCTTTATGACAGAGGGGTCACATTTATCATGTGCAGGGGGACAGGGGACGTGGCCTGAGCTAACTGAAAACAAGAAGCTCCCCAACAAGACTGTAGCATCACTAAACATAACACGGGTTTCTACCACGCTCTCTAGATATACACGTGCACCAGATGACACAGAAGGAGCATTAATAAGAAGGAAATGAAGGAGCTTTTCTGTGGCAGGCAGTTTAAATACAGGCTCCGGAGATTTTGAAATCCTAAGTGGTCCCCTGGGAGATGGGCTACAGAGCAGAAGGGCAGTGAAACAAAGTTGTCTGGTGAATTTTTTAAGGGGATCTGCAGGACACTGTTCAGATCCCCTGCAGAAGTGATCTTATACAACTGGGATTGCTTGGTTTTTTGTTTTGGGTTCACTACTAGGTTGGGCAGCTGCGACTTAGCAGACTACAGGACTGCTCTTTAACCTCAAGTATGTGGGAGATACTTCCACTGTAGTTACTGCTGCTGTACTGCGTAAGGCCAGAGAATCAGACCTTTCCTCTTGGTATATTGATATGCAAGAGACATAAAATTATTCCGAAATCTCAAGTCAGATGCTAGTCCTGCAGGCGGGAGCGTGGAGAGGCCTCAGACTCAGAGATCCTGTCTCAGGGAGGTGCAAGGGTGTACCTACTGCAAAACCACAACCCAAAACCCATGGATAATAGCATCTCCTGTCTTCACGCCGACGCACAGCACGAGTTCTCCTTTCCAAGTGGAGTCCACACTCATTTCAAGCGTACCCAAGCTTCCCACTGACTTGATTTATCATGCCAGTCTTCCAGCTAGCTCTTTCTTTCATGTCTCCTTGTCTTGACCATGCTTCAGACAATGGAAAGAAAAAAGCTTCCTCTCCCAAACGCAACTGTTATTGGCTGTGGTCATGGGGGTGGGAAATAGTACTGAACATTTTGGGAACCTACACATAACATGAAATATCATTTTTCCCCCCCCGAAACTGCAAAATGTTCTAATTCCAAGACACAGTTTGATGCCTTCATCTATGACAGAATTTCATTGCATCTTTGAAGACAAGTGATGGGGTAAGCTTTCAAACCAACATGAGCAAACTTACTCTGACTCTGCACCTTGGGAACTGTCTCTTCAAAAGGAGCGTCTCAACAGATGCTTCAACTAAGCCTCCACACTAAACTGTGCTGAGAGCTCTTCAACTTCCCCTTAAACAACAACAGCAACAAAAGACTGATAAATAAACTAAATGAAGGGACAAAATATTCTCCCTGTCCTTTAGGGTCCTAAACTCTCCAGACAATCCAGCTCTAGAAATGGCTGGCAACAAAAAGCAAGTGAAATTTCAAGGGGTTCGAAACCTAAGCTTTTTCTAAAATTACTAGTGTCAGGTGTGGGGAATAAAGCAAGCACTTGAGGTAAAGCACTGATTGCCCAAGTTTGGAATTAGGTGCCTCGATCAAAGGTTGTTACCTTCACAAACTGCATACGTAAGCACGAAAGCAACATATAGCACAGGGCAAACGCTGCTAGCAGCTGGGAAGGCCTTTCTCCTGTGGGCAGCTCATCTATTCTTGGTCATTACAGGATTTTTTGCCCTTCTGCGATGGAGAATCAGGTGCTGACAACAAACAGATATTGGACAAGTTAGGCATCTGATGTGGCATGGCAGTCTAACTCCCAAAAAGCCAATCAAGCTGGCAAATAAGACAGAGTATAAGTAGACAAGATTTGAATGCCTTCCAGGAAAGGTGTTCCCACCGTCCTTGTCGCTACACATCTGCCTGCTGCTTTCCAGGGGATGTGAAGTCTGACGCCGGGCTGGATTCCCACTTTTCCCACACCCCTTGGCTTGAAAGGATGGAGCACACCAAACCCCTGCTGAAAGCTGACCCATCCTCAGTGGTTCACAAGTCCTGGGTGTGGACACACAGGTGCTTCAGCTCCTCCAAAATGCAGTCTTCCATTTCAGATGCAGTTGAGACAGCTCTTCACTCGAAGTCAGCTGTTTCAGGACTGCTGGAAAGCCCTCAAAGGAATACCAACTACATGTTGTAAGGGCAACCTCTGCCCCTTCTGTAACTCCTCCACTGACAGGGAGGTTGAGGAGGCTGAGAAGGGCCACAGCACCAAGATAGCATTTGATGTCCAATGCCCCAGACTGCTGAGAGCTGGTAAAGCTCAAGTCTTGCCACTTTTCGAAGGCAAATTGAGCTTTGCCTATTTGCACAAGATTTTCTAAGCTGCATACACAGTTACACAAGAGACAGCAACTTTCTAGACTACACACAAACGAGCAAAAGCTCACATGGGCTAAAGTGCACGTGAAAAGCAGTGGAATCAGCAGTGACTGGGAGCACGCTGCTTTGGGGCCGAAAGCTGTATTTCTGCAGTTTGCCCGTGTGGCTCGCGGAGAAGGCCAGGAGGGAGCCAGTGGCTAGCGCGGGGGGCAGGATGTTGGATTCTGTGCAATCCAGACGTATGCTAGCACGAGCTGAAGAGCAGCAAGCAGGAGAAGACTGAGCTCTGGAAACTTTATCCTGCATTACTATTACTAAAAGCCCTGCTGAGCGAACACCAATTTACTCTTACGTAATCAACCATTACGGGTAAGGAGCGTGTAGCTCACAGATAATACGCGTAAGGAGGATCACACCTAATTCCTCACAGTCCTACACTCTCCAGCCAAACCATTTTTCTTTTTTACCCTACTGCTCTTCTGATAAGAGCACGAAATAGCCTTGAAACTAGAGCTTCTGCTGTGATGCAGAGGATGAGAGCCTTCTTTCCAGAGAGACCCAAGAGATGGAACTGTAGGTGCCCATGCGTGCATGCCTGTGCATGCCAAGCTGTACTCAGCCAGCTTGCTTTGCATGTACATGAACACTCCCATCACGCCACATCTGGCTTTCAGGCTGCCTAGAAAACATATGGGCTGACCATCAAATGACTTCAGAACCAACTACTCATTACCCATGCTGTGCTCCAGCATGGCAGAGGCACATCCCTGAGAACAAACGTGGTAGGAGTAGCTGTACCAGCAGTTCCTGAAGAGCAGCTGCCACACTGGCAGCCTGCACAACAGCTTAACCTACGGTAGCCTTTTGGTTTTTGGCTATCCCCTGAAGCTTACAGGCACGCTGCCAAGTGTCACAGCTTGCTTTAAGCTAACTGCCACCCTAAGATTGCGCTCGCTAAACCAAACTGATTGAACTTAAAGACAACACAGCTTCTATGGTAGGAGATGCTCCCCATCAATACCCCCAAAAAAAGAACAGTACATTGGTTAGGACATCACAGGGGATCACCAGATTTTGGTCACCAGTTACACAATAGCACTGGTCAAATCACTTCACCTGTTAGTGCTCTTGGTTTCTCTGTCAGAATAACAGAGAGGATGATAATCCTCAGACCAAGTAGATAAATAGTTGTCCATTTACATGCTTCACAGGTATTTTAAGGCAGTTACTAACACTAACATAGTTCATCCTTCTCACTGGACCACCAGATAAATGCAAAGAGCTGCTAAGAGAGAAGAACAAAAGCTTGGGCAGACCACAAACAGTGAAGGGCTCTGCATTCACAACAATGCCAGGATGGGTGTCCCCAAAGCCTGCTACAAGCAGCCTGTAACAACAGGATGTAAAGTCTGTCATCACCCAGCCTGGGTGTACCATGTCTTTCAGCCCACAGCACCTCTGGCTGTGCTCCAGAGGAAACACTAAATGGAGCAGCAGAACAGGCTGCTGTATGAAAGCTGCAAGAAATCTAGGATAGGGATGGGAAAACAGGAGGGGGGCTTTAGGTGTCCCCTGCCCACCTTGTGCGGTGGAGAGGGCTCCTCACTACAGCTACGGCCCCGCAACCAGTAAAGCTGCCTCAACAGAGCTGATTTTCACTCCTATTTACTCAATTGTTACCCAGCCCAGGCCAGCGCAGCCTGAGCTCCATCCGGAGCCCCAGCCTTTGCGGGTGGTGCAGGGCAAGGGGGGGTTCACTGCCCAGGGATGCTCCTGCCCTCACCCAACCGCAGGTGGTACAAGGGGAGAGCCAAAAAACGCCACCCGCCCGCCTCCTCCCTCCCTCGAAGGGTTATTTTGGGAAAGAAGAAAGAAACCGCGCAGGAGGGACTGGGGGTGGGAATCGGGCCGTGCTCTCACCTGCTTCACCTGCAGGTCCACCACTCTTTGGAAGACGTGTGCCACCAGCAAGGAGATGCTGGCGATGAGCAGCGTCATGGCCAAGACCCCCACGG